TATCAATAAGTATACTTTATATTTGTAATTTTGCATGAGTAGCATTTTTATATTGATACATCATGTATCGGGCAAGTGTTTTTTTTTTCAATCTTAAATGACTTTTTAGGACATTGGTGAATGTTCATGACTCTAGATCAATCAGTCGAAATCAGACTTTTAGGAATACAATAATAACAATGTCATTTATTGCAGAAGTACTTTCAAGCCCCTCCAAAGTGTTGGGAACACATACATTGCATGACGTGGAAGATGATGAACCAAATTACAAGTACAAGCATGTACAACAGAAAAATTAAATTCTTTTATTTTTAAAAACATTTTTTCTTTGTATACATAATGAGATGTTTTGAAAAATCTTGCAGAATTAGGTGTTAAATGACACACTCTTCCGCATGGAATATTTTAGGGTTCCCAAAACTTTAGAGAAACAAATTTCTGAATTAAACTTATAAACATATATATAGTCCAGTACAATTAATGGGAGTTCGTACTATTTAGGTTCATATAAAAGAATCTATCACCTTAAAATACTAATTTAGTTTCGTAACGCTTTCACTGAAAACGGGCATTTATAACCCTATGCCACCTTATATTCATGGTACAGAATGCATGAAATTTAAGCGTGTTTTCTTCGAGTGTTGAATTGCAAAATAAAAAAATAAATCACACCAAAATGTTGAGCACAATTTCTCCTTATTGTATCCAGTGCATCTGACTTAAGAATTTTTTTAATTTCATGTTAGAAATTGGCATTTGGCCATCATTTTGAATTATGCTAGTTAACGTGTCTATAGAGGGCGCCATTCCGAATTATGCAAATTTGTGGTCATACAACATCACTAATGTTTATTTAAGTGATGATCCTAGAAAAAATCTAGATATTTTATTGCCATTTGATGTAGAAAAATGCTATAAACAATATTTTTATCATTAATTTTGGTTAAAAAGGGAATTTTGGCGGCCATTTTGTATGACGTCACATATCTCAAATTGCTCAATGCTGACAGAGTGTCAGCAATCGGATTCTTCAAATTGATGGTCTAAGGAACTGTAATCCCCCCCAAAAAAAACTATAGACCCTAAAACAAGGTATATCGCGATGGCTGCCGGACTAGGGGGGGGGGGGGGGGGGGTGTGTCTATTCTCTGGATGTAGAGGCCACCGATTACAGACAAAACTAGCCACCAATTACCGAAAAATATATTAATGTCAATGTCCCAACATCTACAAATTCAAACCTTTAAACCCGGGGCCAGGAACTAAGTTATATTTAAGTTTTCCCCCTCCCGAGCAAAGGAAGGTTTGAAACTTCATTAAATTATTTTTCTTTTCCATTTTCTCCTTTTCTTTAATTTCTTTCTTTCTCTCTAGTATAGCCATCCCCCATTTCAGGCAGTGGTAGACCACTTCGTTATTCTCATTGATTTTCCGAGTTATTATTGTTATGATAAATTTTTCTTGATTTATTATTAAATTCTGCATTAGGTCTTTTTTCATAATAACTGCTTGCCTAGGATACAGACTTTGAAAGGATGTCTGTGTAAAAAAAAAACAACGGAAGAGTTAACATCATTTAGGGCCTCAATTAAAAGACAAATTCTCCCAGCAAATCCTTCCTCCTCCTCTGTGAAATACCCCCCCCCCCCGCCAACGTACACACCTCTCTCTCTACCCCCCCCAACATACACACACCTCTCTCTACCCCCCCCCCCCCCCCCATTTCCCTTCCTCTATAATCCAAACTAGTCTCACTTGAAAGTGGAGAATGTGTTGCTATCTGGCTTTCTTCCTCTCTCCCACACTCCTCAGCTTCCAACGACAACTATCCAACCTGGGTTTTTAAATGGGTCCCCCTTAACCCTGCCATACCACACTATCTATACTGGATCTTCATCACCACCATGGCAAGGTGTGGCCTTCAAGGTATATTCAAGGTATATTCACCTCAGTCTCTTCCCTCTCTTTACCTTTCAGCTTCCTCAATCATACTGCTGTTTTTTTTAAATATTTTTCTCGAGATGAAGGCCCATCTCTACAAAGTCAAAACTTTAAAAAGTGATATAAAATTCTTAGTTTTCTTTTGTTGGTTACCATATTTATTTACTGGGTATATAATAATATACTGTTCTTGTGTTCTCTCTATGTGCTTCCAAAGGACTTCAGATATTATCCCCCCCCCCCCTGCTTTTTATCAATGTTAATTATATTGATAAATTACACTTCACTATCCTGTTATTGTTAAAGGTCAAACTCCTTAGCACTTTCAACCATCATGAAACCAATGGCAAGCCCCCAATGGCAATTTTTAAGCCAATAAAGTGGACAAATTTGCCCTCTCTAAAATATGAAACAACAAGAAGTATCCTCGTCAGAAGCTATTCCTGACGAGGATACTGCTTTGACAAAAATAAAAATAAAAGGGAAAAGCCACATCCTTGTGATAAAATGTTTATTCAAAAGAGTAAAGAAAGATAAAACACACAAAAGTGCATTTCATAATTGCATGAAATATTCAGTTATAATAGTTTGGGGAGACACTGAGGCAGAGCAGGTCAAGATTAATTGCAAAACAAAGAAGAGAGTAAAATTGAGAAAACAGAGATATAAATAGAGAAATAAATAAAAGGGGGAGGGAGGGGGAGAGAGAGAGGGAGAGTGAGTGAGGGAGACAGAATGAGGGAGACAGAATGAGGGAGAGAGAATGAGGGAGAGAGAAGAGAGAGAGAGAAGAGAGGGAGAGAGAAGAGAGAGAGGGAGAGAGAGAGAGAGAGAGAGAGAGATAGAGAGAGAGAGAGAGAGAGAGAGAGAGAGGGGGGGGGGGGGGAAGGAGATATAGTTTATTTGTTAAATACCCAAACATTCCAAACAATTTTCCAGTAACATATATATAAAAGAAAAATTAAAACCAATAATGATCACATCACTATTAAAAGTAAGGGATCATTTCTATTATTAATAAAAACATATTTTTCTGTACATACAAATATATAAACTTTCTAGAACTGACAAACCACATAAATTTCATTAAAAAAAAATGCACAAAATAATATACTAGTACTTGAAATCAAATGAAACATAAGCAGGCAAGCAAACAACCATGAAGTTGTCACACACTGAGCAATTTTGTAGCCCATTTGATTTTTTTTCCCTTCAATGTAAAATAATAAGACAATTGAACGGTTTGAACCTTGCACTTCAAAGATGGTTAAAATACAACAAAACAAATGTAGCAATCTTGATCATTTCCTTGTTCTTTTGAAAAAGATAAACTCTTATGGATTGTATATTTCCCTGCATGTCTGGTAAGTGTGCTTTCACCTTAAATATATATATAAATAGCTACATTCATAATGCCCACATATCAATCCAAAGGACTTTAACCATTTGGTAAATATCTCATAAAACCCACTAGGAAAAGAAAGAAAAAAAGGTCATTAGACCCACACACATTCTAAAACTCCTGCAAGTTTTCTAAAAATGTATGCCTCTTATAACAAGGAACCTAAAGAAAATATGTGAAACAATATTCTTGCTAAAAAGAAAAGCAGAATAATAATTATACTGTATGATGGGTGAAAGGTATCATTAAATTTGATAATGCCCTTTTTTTTAATTTCGAATTTCGAATTAAAACTGAAGTTAAAGACAACTTAATTACATTCTTTCATACAGTAGTTCTTTAATGAAAGATATTGCAAATTGCAAAATGACTTGGTTTCCATTCCTATGACAAGCAATCAGAGTCACACCCAGAGAGCCAGTTGCAGAAATCAGTTGCTGTCAGGCAATCATCACAGCATCATTATACACAATGGCACTCAAGTGCTTTAAAAAAATCAAATAAAAAAAATAATCTTATAATCCATTACAAGTGATTCCAAAGATTCCCAATAATAAGCGTAAGCTTTTTGTTTCATCTATTCTAGCTTTCTCAAAGAATCAGGCTGTATGTATATTGCCCTCAGCTATTTTTGTTTCTCTGTGGACCCCCCTGAGAAAATATTAAAGGGAACCAAAACCTTCATACTAAGTTACTTTTATTGTAAAGTTTAAGATATTTGAATAAAATCAGTGAAAATTTGAACAAAATCGGGCAAGGAATAAGGAAGTTAAAGCGTTTTGAAATGACTACCTTAGTCAATAGAGGGCGATATTCAATTTGATGCGTCATTTGTGGACAACTCTCCATGCCTTTTGTATTTCAAATTTCATGTTTTTCCTTCTTTCTTGTGATTGATATAACACAAATAAATATGAAGAAAACAAAAGAATTGTGAAATTTGAAGTACAAAAGACATGGAGAGTTGTCCACAAATGATGCATCACAATGAATATCGCCCTCTAGTGACTAGTCATTTCAAAAAGCTTTAATTTCGTTGTTCCTTGCCTGATTTTGTTCAAATTTTTACTGATTTTATTCAAATATCTTAAACTTAAACTACAATAAAAGTAACTTAGTATGAAGGTTTTTGTTCCCTTTAAGCTTAGTACAAATGAAACTGAAGCCATGGTGGGTACAATGAAGAGTGAAGTGGAATTTTTGCAAGTGAAGAGGTAAGGGTTTGCAAATACTTGATGAACAGGCTTACACTTCTACTCTTAATCATGGACACATGCAAAATGCTCCAAAAAGGTTAGTACTTGCTAACAAAAATGTCTGACATTTAGAATACCCAAACGCAAGTAATTTCATATACCCTGCAGATAAACATAATACATAACAAAGGACTAGCAAAGTGAACCTGATCACAAAACTCTGTGACTTGGTTAACATTTCAGCACAGAAAATATCTAAAGGATAGTTGTTGTGACCTCATGGAAAACGGAATAAAAAATATAATTTATGTCATCTCAAGATTCCGTATTACAGAAAATAGCATCAATGAAGAATAAATATAACTTCTCATTTTGGTTAGGCATATACTATGCATTTCTATGTGAATAGATCAAAAGATTACTGTACCTATTTTTTAAATTAATATTCTTATCTTTCATTATTTTTTTGAGTATTAGAAAGTGAAATTGGAATCGGCTCAACTTTGAAACACAATACCTTCACTTATTAACAAATATTGAGAATGGTTGCGTACACATTGTTCATACTTGTTTTCTATTAATTATATGCAGATTGCGTAGTCAATATACATAAGGAGTAGGCTTTCAACATCGATTCTTTAAGAAATTCTTTTGATAGATATCTCCTTAACTTCCAATCAAAAAAGTACAGTCGGTTAGTATTCCTACTTTCCCACTGTCAATAAAAATAAATAGTGTAGGCCTATTAATGAACAATGCCATGGGCCTGTAATCTACAACAAATTAACCCTGATGGTGTGCTTAAGAATTTTGTTGAACAAAGGAAATTAGTCTGAGATTTCAGTTTTCCTTTGATTGAATTTAATAGTAGAATATGCACCATAGACTTTTTCTCTCTCTGTTTTGTTTCAAAACATTTTCTCACTTCTTTTTAATGCTTTATGTTAATACATTTATTTCAGCATGTACAAAATGCACCTGTATTTTATATCATAAAACAAAACATAGCACAATACATGAAGAAAAGCAAATTGGTATTGCATGTCGATACTTCAAACGATAGCCAATGGAAAGTCTGAACAGTGCATCAGATCAGAGTTCTGCAAATTCAGAGTAACACGGTTTTGTTCACATACACAAAATAAATAAATAAATGCACTTTTCAAAGTAAAAGAGTTAATCTCCTAGCTGCCTCTTTAAGTATACAGTTTATCATAGCGCACTAACTGTTAGCATGCAGCAGAGTTTCATATAGTAGCTGCACTTTATAAACGGACCTATTTCTATTAGTATTGTTACAATACACCAAAGCAAACCATAACCAATGCTTAGATTTGCTACACCCTTCAGCAAAAGCTGGCCATGATGGCCCAAATTAATGAAGGTTTATCTTAACCTACGGCTTTCAATCCTCCTGTACGTGCATATTCATGTGAAAAAAAAAAGACAACAGACATGCCTCAGTTTGTAAGCAAAGACAGAGAGCTGACCACAACATGAGACTACTGCATCAAGGTTGATTAGACAATATTAAATAGTGTTCTTTCATGCACTACGACAAAGTCATATGTTCTATCCAAAATTAGGACTGGCGGCCCCTGAAGCAATCCCTGGCTGTCATCCTTGAGCTCTTGATAAAGTCGACATCTTCATCCTCCTAGTGCTCGATAGCAGACATGATTCATAAATCATCGCATTCGCTCATCCATTTAAAGCCCCACTGCACTATTTGTAGCTACTTGCTCCCTCTATATGGCAAACAATGCCTAAGCGGTGCCCGTTGGTCCCCCATGATCCTCTTTTTCTTATGTTAATTGAGAGCCAAGTTGATGAGATAACCACCTGTCAGTGACCACGCTGGGTGGTCTAATCCTTCCTGGTCAAACTAGTACAGACGGGCTTTAAAGCTATCTAATGACAAAGGTCCCTGCATCGCACTAGACAAGAAAATAAGCGAGATACAAGCTACTATGAAGTCATCTGGGTAATCTGTTTTCAGCCAAGTCATGATTTGCTCTCACTCTTATCCCCGATGGCCATCTTCATAAAGGAGGTTTGAGTGATGTCGAAGACTGCGATTACTCTAGCACTCCAAGGGCAGTCATCATAAGGGTAGCCGCTGCATTTGCTCATATGCCATGAAGAACTGATGGATGAATGCAGAGTTAAGGTCAAAATAGCTTATACTGGCAATGAAATGTCAGTTATGAATAAGATTCCTTTGTATAAGCTTGTTCCGATATATCAGTATATTCAAACTGCCATCATTTTAAAAATGTATATATATATATTTTCACGTATTCATTGAGCTGTGTCATAAGAAACAGAAATGTGGAGCGTTTTACACTTACGTTATCATTTCGAAAAAATATGGCTGTTTTCCACTGCGTAACTGAAACAAGGCTCAACGATGACTTGCAATGATTTCAATGACATAAAATCACACTGTGCAAATATCTCCCCTAGGGGATGTTAATTCAGGGGTGATAGTGAGCACTGTAAATAAAAAAATAAAAAAATTTCTTCCCCCCCAACCACACCCCCCTTGAGTAAAATAACAAAGAGGATTCAGGGGGAAAAAATGGAATCTTCCAACATTCCCCCCTTTTTGAGTAAGAAATATTGGGAAATAATAGGGAAGAATAGAGAAAATAAGGGGGAAATCAGGAAAATCAGGATAAAATCGGAAGAAAAAAAATATTTAAAAAAAGGTAAAAAAGTCGGGAAACCGATTCAAATCGGCTTTTTATCAGATCTGTAAATTTGATATTAATTTGATGATTTTTGCTTTTCAATCAAGAATGAAAGGTGGGCTGGTTGAATTAGGGCCTTTGTTAAATACTTTTAGATGTAAGCCTTAAGATGTCACATTTGAAAAGGATACAATGATGTTCCAAGGGCCAAGACGAACCCATGTCGGTACAAAGCCCTTGTAGAGTGCGATGAATCCCTCATACTTTGCAGTCTGGAAAATAACAAAACAGATGAAAATAAATTTGTGTGAATCGCAAAGTCCCATTTGACCAGGGTCCAGGGAGCTCTGGGGTTGTCTGATGCCCTCTGAGCCATAATATGAAGCATTTTCAAACAAATGTTAAGACTAATATTTTACAAATACTCATTGTTCCATTTTCCCTTATATTTTATATAACCCATGACTGATTTTGAAACATGTCGTTCAAAATGTTGCTATTGCATGTTAAAATTGCTTGGGGATCACCCTAGAATGCATTACTTAAAATATACTGATAAAGTGATCAAATTATAAAATATTAAATAAAGTGCTGTGAATGAAATGGATTCACTATGTTATAACAATTTGGTAGAGCAGAATCCTACTACAGTTTACATAATGAAAAAATTAATCATGCATCAAAAAATTCACCCTTTTGATGAGGAGAGGTAATTTTTGTTTTCCTTTTTTTCTTTCTTTTTTTCTTTAGGGGGAAGGGGGTGATATCATGAACTCATTAAACAATTTACATACCTGCCAATATTTGAAAATAAGAATTAGGAATCTTTAGCACTGGCAATACGCGGTAAATCTGTACCAAATACATATACGCTGCTCGATCATGAAGCCATTCAACGCAAAAAATATGTGAACTCTCAAATCGCGGCACTGCTTTATTTTGCTTTAGCACCTTTAAAAAACATATCAGTGAAAAAAAGGAAAAAAAGAAAAATTTGAATATCCCAGATTTTCAGGTCCTAGAAATCCAGAAAAACAGAATATTCCGGATTATTCGTAAAGGTTGGCAGGTATGAATTTAGGTCAGCCTGACAAACCTTTACAATGATTAAAAAGCTGACAACCTCAACTGAAAAAAACTGAGTTGTTATCTTTCTCCAATGGCGGACTATCGTACACACCTTCAGTAAGCACTCAATTGAATTCTGGTACACAAAGTTACTAGATGAAGAGGCCACACCTTTCCTCAGGTTTCGCTGGTTCATCAATCTGGTTCTCACCACATCAACAGGGTTGGATAAAATGGCACCAGCTAAACCAGCCGCGAAGCTTGATCTGTCAAGCGTAGAAGCAGAGAAACAAACTGATCAGCAACATACAGTACAAGCATTACATTTTTTCTTCTTCCACAGATACATACATTTTCAAAAGTTGTAGTTTTTAAGTTACATGATTCACAGACCACACAATTTTTTTCTAATATATTTAACATTCTAGAATTTTTTTTTGAAGTACACCTGTATGAGAATGTTTAACAGGCAACAAAAAACAAACATATACATGTAGTACATATTAAACAAATACTTATCATTCTAGTCATACAATGATATGAAAATTATATGTATCTTATATGTACCGGTAAATATTTCCAAAACTATAGAAAAAAACGTAAACCTGAATAAAATACATTCTATTTTCATCAGTAATTAAGACTGTTTCCTATCGCCTTTCAGACGGATTATTTATATAATATGGACTGGGCTTGAGGGAGATACCACATAATATTTCCCAAACTAGACTCATATTGCCCCGAGTCAAAGACAAGGGCAATATGGGTCTTGTGAGGGAAATATATGTGGTATCTCCCGAAAGTTAAGCCAGTCAATATTGTTATTATTATCTAAATCAGACATCTAGAGCAAATACATACATGACAATCTCATAGAACTGAACAAGCTTTGTAAAACCAGCACTGTGCATCAAGCTGTTTGACAAAATGTTTGATACACTGCAAACAGTGTACCCAATTTGGTGTGATTATTACGTCACAATAGAGTACGTGCAAAGTGCGCAGGTTCTCGTACGCATAATAGATGCGCAATGAAAATGACAAAATACGGCGCGGTGAATATGGTCTTATATTTCATGCTTTTTTAACACTTTAAGTCCATAGGCTTTTTCATGAAAGGTAAATATGGTCTCATATTCCCCGATTAGCCCTTTTAGGATTACCAGCAAGTGTAATATGAGTTTGTAAAACCACTGCTCAGATGTCTGATAGGGGTAATAATACCTATTATTTTCAAAAGTAGAACCATTAATTCTCAAAAATTGTTAAACATACATCAAACTGGTTATGATCAAAATCAACAGGTGTGAGCAGTTACAATATTGATTTGATAACAAGTAACAGGTTTATTTACTTACAAGAAGTGCAGTTTGACGTTATCCTCCATCAGCCTCCTGTCTAGGACTGTCTTTTTACACCAGTCATACACCGGTAGTGCTACACCTGCAACTATTGCTACTCTCTGTGCAGTTGGTATAACACCCTGTAGATATAAACAATGTACAAAGTTTAGTGTATTTTAACACCAGTCATACACCGGTAGTGCTACACCTCCATTAGAGGCAGCTTGCACACAGATGGGATAATACCCTGTAAATATAAACAATGTACTGCTGGTCAGTATCTTTTTACACCATTACACCAGTCATACACCGGTAGTGCTACACCTGTGAATATTGCTACTCTCTGTGCAAATAGCACAACAACTTGTAGATATGAACAATGTGTTGAATTCAGTGTATTTAACACCAGTCATACTAGGCCTGAGTCAAACCGTTTAACCGACGGTTATCCGACCGCATTCATCAAAACCGTTTAGCATTTCTCGCTCCGGTTAACCGTTATTTGCATACATTTTGGAATGTGCTAATAGCCCATGATAAAGATAATCAAAGAAACCGCAGTGTAATATTACACCCTGGCCGCTGCGCGCCAGCTTTCTGGCAGCAGTAATCACCATGAATGAATTTGTAAACAATAAAACAACCAGTCCCCTTCTCTCTTTTCTCACCCTCTTTATTCCCTTCTCTCTGCAATGTGTTCATCGCTCATGTACCTTTTCTTATTACTGCACTCTCAGCTCACAACTTTCTAAATGTTTACACATTCGATGGTCAGTTCCTCTCACATCCCTTAATCTCCCCCGAGTCTCTCTCTCTCTCTCTCTCAATATTAATAGCCATCCCTTGCCGACTCGCCCCCTAAAATAATGTTCATATATAAATAAAATACAAAAATATTGATAACAATAATAATTGAAGTTTTAGAAATATCAATCAACAAAGTCTTGGATATTATTTGTGAGTAATTTAAGTTTTTGATCATTCTTCAATTCAGCCGATTAACACAGCCACCCTTTCTTACTTCGATCTTCACTCGTGTCCCTGCCTCGTCCATGCAGGGACATGCAGGGACATGCTAGCCCATATGCTCTCTCAGTCACACACACATGTACACACAAACCTCCGGCGCCCAAATACACTGTACATACACACAGATGGAGAGTTCATGCTTGTCACATGCACACATGTGGGCGTGGCTTCTTGACCTCCCACTGAACTGGGTACGGTGAAAGCACGCGCGGTCACCAACCTGTAATTTATGCTGGTATCAAACTCCACCCACATAGCTAGAGAACCTTCCTGATTGGTCACTAACTTGGATCAGCTCATTGCAGGGTGTGTCTTGGGTGTGTGTGATACACACTTCTACATAATTTCATATGGCAATGATACATGCAGGGAGCTCTCTCCCTGATCCATGTGCAAACATTGCATTGCAAAGGCATATATAAACACGTCACAGATCAGCTAACTTCACAGAGTAACTTTGCAAGGTTAATCTTGATATCAAATTCAGATGAGGAATAATAAGACATGTTTTATGTTGTTTATTACTGGTCTCTGTTTATCAGGATGACCTAATTTGTGCCATAGTCCGGGGCTGGGAATGCTCAGCCCGACAGTCTGAAGACCAGCAGGGTTCCGAGCTACAGCACTATTAAAAATACTGTATTTTCACTTTTTCAGATTATTATTAAACGGTTAAACGAAACCGCCCGTATACTTTTAACGGTTAACCGTTTAGCACAAAAACCGTAATGACTCAGGCTTAAGTCATACACAAGCAGTGCTTGTCGAAGAAATTTAAAAACTACTATACGTATGGGGACTTCAAATTGGCTGAATTGGTAATGTCTCTGTGAATTAATTTTAACACACAAAATGAGCATGGCTTCAGAGGGTCTTTTCTTTTCACAAAACTTATAATAACATACCACCGGTGTCCACAATATTTTGAGTAGTGCCCCAGGGAAAAAGGCACTAGGGAGAAAAACAGAAACTAAAGGTATTTTTGTACACGACAAATAGGAAAGTTGTCCGTTTCTACCTTTACAATCTGCTGTCAACATTGCCAATCTGAGCAATAGTGATTTCATATTTCAGATGCTCTCTTATTATTGGTCCGATTCGTTTTAAACTTTTGCCATTCATTATGTTTTAATGTTGATGTTTGTTAACTGATGTAGATTTTCATTGTTCTTTTATGCTTATGTTATCTGTTTTTCATTTGCTCTACATGTGTGTGTCAAATGTGTACAATGTAATCTGTTACCTTGTATATTTTTCTGGTTTTTAATGTGGAAAATAAATGAAATGAAATGAAACTTATTACAAGGGTTGGATTGCCCATTAATATAAGTTTTAATGGGATTCCTGCTAATGGTAATAATGATAAGACTTTATTGCTCACCCTCCAAAGCCCTTTTGTGCCTTCCTCTTGATAAATGGTGACAAAAGAATTGAACATTCCCCCTGCGTTGGCAAAGCTTGCACTCTGGGCCTGCATACGCACCTGGATGGGGGAAAACAGACAAATAAGGGACATGTTATACAGTTATCAACCTGCTTTAGCATCCACCTGTACAACCTCAACTCAAGTGCAGATCAATCGTAAAATAAACTCTCGGCATTCGGCATGCATCATTTCTATACTGTCTACTGTCGTGGTCGAGTGGATACGTCGCCGGACAGTCGACCACAAGGTCCGTGGTTTGAGTCCCGCCGCGGCACTAATGTCCTTTGGCAAGACATCGATCTTCATTTGCCATAATCGACCCAGATGTTGTAAATGGGTTCCTGGCAGGAATTAATTCCTTGAAATGCTAGAGTGCTGTAATGGCCACCTTGCTAAAGCCAGGGTAATAATAAGAAGCCACCATTATTATTATTGATTAAGAATTGAAATGTACAACTAACAGAAGAGATTAAAAAGTTCTTGAAAACTGCACGAATTAGAGATGGTTGAAAAGAACCCAACAAATGTAATCCCTTGTATTCAAGGCCACCAACTCTGAATAAAAAGGACCCAGGGAAATTCACTGCATAGCCCACCATAGGTGTATGTCCTCATCAGCTCGAGATTGCCGAATAGCCAGCTATTTCTGATACGAAAAATAAGCCTGAAGTTACAAATCGCGTCTTCACCAGCTAGAGACTCGAGCTCGAGAAAGTAGCTTGAGATATTTTGCTCAGCGTTCGCGCATAGTGCAAGTCTTTGGGCTGGTGAAGATGCACTGGACAAGTAGCAGGATATTTTGCAAACTAGCCCAAGATATCTTGGGATGATTATCTGGACAAAATATCCTGCTAATTGCAACTGTGGGCTGATATAGAAGCAAATAAGCTGGATAATTTACGATTGGGATAGTTAAAAGAGCAGGATATTGGCAATCTCGAGCTGAAGGCAGGCCTCATGTGGGGGGGGGGGGGGGGGTTGATTGGAGAGTGCCTTGGGGAAAGCAAGATGGAAATGACAGACAGCATGGTTTGGAAAGACGTAAGAGTTTAAGAATATTTTTACAAAAACTGATTTGGATTTAGGTAAACCTACAGATGAGGTTTCAAACTAGTGAGAGGTATTAAAAGGGCTGGTTACATATCGCCAATAACGATATTGATTTGATAATAATGAATACGCCTACATACATGTATAAAAGGTAATGGATCCAGAAAAATTAGTGCTGAAGACTCAATAGCAAAAATTGGTTTGCACCAAACTATTTCTACAGAGTACAGACCAATTTTATAATTGTCAAACTAGTATCGACCATCTTTGATATGCAACTAGGGCCCTGTCTTCTAAAAAGTCAGTTTGCAGGCACAGAGTCTAATTCAACACTTATACACTATTCCATAAATCCTTGAGCCAAGCCTAGCTCTGTCAGTTTCTGCAGCAGCTAAAGAACAGAGTCTATGGGATGCAGTAGATCATACAGTCTATATAGTCTCGCAGTTATTAGACACTGTTATGCACAACGACTGACAAGAGTTTGTGCTTGCAAACTAATAAAGGGTTGCGATTGATTTGAATCAATCACAACTCAAATTCAATCGCAACTGAGTACTAAGAGAAATAGAGGAAAATAAAACTAAGACAACAGATTTGAATATTACTAAGTGGAAGAAGACAATTACTGATTTACAGTCTGCTATCAAGTAAATAGAGATATATATAATTTGATTTGCTCTCATTTAAACATGTGATTAAGTGATTTGTTATAAATATTTATGTACTACAATGTTATCCGTGATTTGATCTGAAAAAAGATTTATTTCAACAATAAAAAAAAAATTAAAAAAGAGAAATGACATTTGAATGTGCGATCGAGTGGAGGACTCGCGTATAATTCAAATTGATCACAACTCTATAGTCTATACTACATTAGATGGGGCACAGTTCTCATCTGCAGAGCAACTGTCGCTAGGGTTACGTTTCATATTACTCCTACCTTGAGTACATCAGTGGGGTTTGCTATGGCCGACGCTATGACTCCTGCAGTCATCCCGCACAGCACGTTGACCGGTAGGGTCTCATTCTCAGGGTTATCTACCAGGATCCTCTTGAAGGAATGGTAGCAGCCTATCTTGATGGTGCCATATACAGCCTGTCGCAGGACGGCAGGTCGGATCCTGAAATGAAACAAGAGTACAGTGACAGATTCAATATTTTCTCATGAGAAGCAGTTCTATTATTAAAAGGTAATACAAAGTTTTGGGAAATTTTGAAAATTGGCTGGATAGTGATTCTTTACAATTTTGATATATTTGGATGCCCCTGTGGATGTATTATAAGCACTAGAAAATTTAGCCCCTATAACACTTCTGCTTTCGAGAAAAATTGAATATAAACATTTACCGGTCCTCGCTGTAAATTTTGATAAATTTCAAATAGCGCTTACGGCCATACAATGGTAGCTGCGACCATGAAAATGTCAAACTATGTACATGTATTTGTGATATAATTTCCAAACGGAAATAGCCAATCCGTCGATTTTAGTCAAGAAACATTGTTTAATGGCTTGATTAATATCTTGACCTTGAGAGGGAGCTATACAACATAAAGAGTTTATTATTTACTATTTCATAACTTTAGACTCGATTTCAACCGCGACAACGATCACTGAATATTGTAGGACAGCATATGCTTCCAATATGTTCATTTGAACCAAATTCATGACCAGCCACCAAAACTTTGTATTACCTTTAAGTCCTATTTGTCAACCAACTTAAAAAACATTTTGGTTATAATTAATATTTGGTTTTATACATGTAAGATAAAACACAATTAAATTGGCTTGATTGCTGTAATACATTTAGCATGAGGAATCCTGTACAATTCTGAAAATAATAAAAAAAATTATAGATTTAAAGAAATTTAGGTTACTCCATGTTCATGTCGTTATCTGAGCGTTACCTTCTCTTTTTTTCTCTTATTCATTCTCTCTCTCTCCTCCATTAACCATCTTTACCTGCTTGTCACTGCTTGACACTTGTCTCCCTCTTTCTCTTCCCCCTTCCTCATCTACTGACCCTATCATTCTTTTCTCTCTCTCTCTCTCTCTCTCTCTCCTTCCACCCCTCCCTCGCTCCCCCACTCTCTCTCTCTGTCCTTGTTCCACCCCTTCCTCGCTCCCCACTCTCTCGTTCTCTCTCTCTCTGTCTCTGTTCGAACCCTCCCTCGCTCCCCAGTCTCTCTGTGTCTCTGTTCCACCCTCTCTTGCCTTCAACCCTCTCTCTCTCTCTCTCTCTCTCTCTGTTCCACCCTCTCTCGCTTCCCACCCTCTCTGTTCCACCCTCTCTCGCTCCCCACCCTCTCTCTCTCTGTTCCACCCCTCCCTCGCTCCCCACTCCCACTCTCTCTCTCTCTCTCTTTTTCCTTCCACCCCTCCCTCGCTCCATCTCTCTCACTCTCACTCTTTCTTTACCCTGAGTATAGAGCCTGGATGCCCTCCTCCTTGGCAATTCTTTTGAGGGCATGGAACATTCCTCGATACTTGAGCTCTCGAAAGCTGGCCTCCATCCTCTGGCCCTGCACTTGAAGCCTCGTCTTCGTCAGGTCGAGTGGGAAAGTCCCTACAGGGGAGAATAAATCGTCAAAATTTAAACTCTACTGTACATGTATCATTTATAACCCCTTTTTTTCCCACAGGATTTATTTTGCAAACTTTGTGAAGTGTTGTAGGGTGCCAGATTTTACAACACACCAACATGATCTGGCAATACACAAGTGAAGTTAGTGAACGAGCATACAATGGAATAAGCCTGACCAGGGACGTGATAGAGAAGGACTGGAATCAAGCCGCTCTCCTTTGACCCCATGCTCCAAGCCGCCGAAAAGTTATGCGCTAATCTGCAACTGTTGACCAGGTGGTGAGATAAAAGAGCGCATGAAATTTTAGGATTTAGAATTCCTACATCAGAAAATGGTATCACTGCAACTGTTCGCTGTCCCTTCCAATGATTTCTCATCCATTGTTGAATGTGTAAAGAGTAGAACAAGCGAACACAAACTTGTGTACTTTCATCCTTTTTTAAACTTAAAAAATACAAAAAACACGCGAAAACACGCATTAGCTAACTTAATGTTATTGAAGATTGTAAATCATGGATCAAATAACGGGACATTAAAGCATGCACAAATTAGCGCATCATCCTAAAATATTGAGTTTTTGACAGGATGTAATTTTTCTTTTACCAACTCTGGCACACAAATTAAAGGAAGGACGGAGTTCTAAATTTGAAAATTTGTTTGATGCACTATTCCCAATAAAATCCCCATATAAAGTTTTTGATTTACACTGACATTTTGCCGGTAATTTAATATTTTGTAATAAATGTAAAACTGGTGCCTGGCTTCCGAAAGTCCCCGCAGTGGAAGCGCGGTTCGGAGCATGGAACTTCAAAGCCAAGTGGAATGTTACACATCCCATTGTTACGCTTTAGAACTCAAGAATGCGTTTGAATAAATTACAAGAGTTTCGCCTCCTTTTCTTTCACCTCCCTGGCCTGACTTAATTCACACAAAAACAACAGCTTTCAAAAATATAAGTTTGAGTCACCCACATAAATATTAGTACATGTATGTACAAAAATACAATTATTCATTCACTTCATTTTTCATTTCTTTTTTCATTTCTATTTACAAAAAAATAGACAAAAAAAAAAACAAAAAACATCCATACAATAGAAGAATAATATCAAAGAACAACATGTTGTACAGTAACCCAGCCAACAAGTTTATTTTCTAAAGATAGATGCAATATGAGTTTGAGTTTTCTTTAAACAAAACTACTGTACATGTAGCATGATTGGAGGCTCAAAGACATTGTATAAGAAGTACATGTACATGTACATGTTCAGGGGGAAAATGTTTTAGGCAAGGGAAATATTAATTAATAATAATAATAATGTAACTTATATCGCGCCAAATCCACTCTGTGGAGTGCTCAAGGCGCGTGTAAACAGGAAAAAAGATCAAGACTTGAAAAGAAATGTTTTGAGATGAGTTTTGAAAGAATCAGAGGATAAACATTTTTTGATGTCTTCAGGAAGGCCATTCCATAATTTAGGACTAGAGTATGCAAAAGATCTTTCCCCCCACGTTTTGGTAATTTTGGGGGTTACAAGAAAATTGGAAGTGGATGAGCGTAGAGGTCTTGCAGGAGTGTAGTTTTGGATTAGAGAGATAAGGTATTGAGGAGCAGAGCCGTGAACGCAATGAAAGGTGAGCAACAAAATTTTGAAAACAATGCGATCTTTTACTGGGAGCCAGTGTAGCGACTGCAAAACTGGGGAAATGTGGGTACGCTTGGTGGTCAGAGAAACAATACGAGCTGCAGCGTTTTGAAGCTTCTGAAGCTTGGACACTAGATTCTGGGGTAGATTGATTAGGAGGGCATTGGCAAAATCAAGACGGGAGGAAATCAGAGCATGAACTAATTTTTCGGTGGCAGACTTGGACAAATATTTACGAATAAAACCGATATTACGCAAGTGGTACCTTACAGATCTACAAATATTAAGAACTTGGTTAGACATTGTCATATGTGAGTCAAACATAACACCGAGATTGCGACACGTTTGTGACAAGTGAATTATGTGGCCAGAAAATGAAATGCAATTGATATTAACTTTACTAAGCTGTACTTTGGAACCAAATATAAGGAATTCACATTTGTCTAAATTTAATTTCAAGGAATGTGCGAGCAACCAATCAAGAACGTCAGCCATGCAAGATTCAAGGCGATGAACGGCTCGTTCTGCAGCGGCTTGATCTGAATTGAAGGAAATCATAAGTTGAATATCGTCTGCATAAATATGATAATCTATGCCATGTTGTAACAAAACTTGTCGCAATCCAATTAAATAAATTGAGAAAAGAGTGGGCCCGCCCACAGAACCTTGTGGTACTCCACAAGAGAGAGGCAAAGCAACTGATTTGCAACCATTAATACAAACGATCAGAGAGTGGTATGACAGATAAGACTCGAACCATTTGTATGCCTCACCCTTGACACCAAGTGAACTAAGTGTGTTCAAAAGGATAGTGTGATTAACGGTGTCGAAGGCGGAGGACAAGTCTAGCAGCAGGAGAGCAGTTGAGTTACCCCTATCCATCCCTTAACTTTTTAAGATGTCTGAATGTAGATCTTCCTGACAGCATCTTTGATTTGACAACAAATAAATATCTACATGTAGATATTTATTTGCATTCTTTCTAGATGGGATTAGATTGGATTACTATTGGCCTGTAGACTAAAATACCTCTTTTGTTACAGGGAGCTATTTTCTTATTATTTGATATGATGTACATGTACATGTACATGGACATGCAGTTTTGCCACAACAGTTTTATTTGTCTTTTACATTTCAACAATAAAGCAAAAGAGCTTAAATCTCTTTTAAATAGTTACGGTGAGTCTTGAATTTAGATATTTGTCCCGGAATTTCAGTTTCAGTTTATGGGAAATAATCTAATGGCTTTTTGTTTGTTTCTTCATTAATTGTTTGTTTGTTTATATTTATTACAAGGTTTTTCCTCCCCCTCCTCCCCCTCCCCCCACTGGATTGTTGTATAAGCTACAATCAAATGTACATAATTCATACATACTGTACATGTAAATGGGATATAGCCTTGAGAGAGAAATATTCTGTCATACTCCATTCATGTCAGCACAAAGGTTTATAAAATTATAGCGATAATTTTATTAATATGTATACACAAAAGTTTTTTCGAAGTACGGGTGTATGTTACATGTTTATTAAGCTTCTGCACAATTCACTTTGTGTGCACAGGCTTATTTAAGTTTACAGCGCAGTGATGCATGCACCATATAATAACCCTGGTAAAGTAGACAGTATTGTGACCTCCAGGGTCCAGACTCAATCAATATCAAATGGATGGGTTGCCCTTTCAAGCACAATACATGTGTACATGCCCAAGACCCGATGCCTGCTGTGCTATTCAGATACCTTTTATACCAAGCAGAGTGTCTACTCTTCATAAATGACTACTACTATTGTGAAAGGCTTAGGGGCACAAGTACATGTATACCTACTTTTGTACCATGTACAGTACCGGTATATTCTATATTCATGATGATTAATGATAATAATAATAATATCGAATATTTAGAAGCACTAAAAACAATAAGTACCATAGCGCTTACAATAATAAACATAACCGCCAACCTTTCGTTTCACAGCAAAAATAAGGAATACAGTCTATTTTGCATACTTTTCACATACAGTATATGATACTTCAGAAAAAGAGAGTAATCTAGGGTAGTGCTGTAGTCAAACGTTTAACCGTCCGGTATCCGACCGCCCATGGCGGATTCCGTTTTCAATTGGACGGTTTCGTTTTCCCGATTTTTTTTTTTTTTTTTTTTAAATATTTTTTTTTTTTTTTTTTTTTTTTTTTAATAATTTTTTTTTTTTTTTTTTTTTTTTTTTTAAAGTTTCGATTTATGCCCCTCCACCTGGCACTATGCCTGGCAATGTCTCCCAGCTCAGTAATCTGTGTGTTGACTCACCACTCCAAAACTAGAACAACACTCCAATTTGTCTGTCATCTTGGTTTGAAAGTAATCTTTGTAATAGATCTCATCATCTCAATATGTAGTTTATAATAATAATTCATCCAACTTTTACACAAGGTTCTGTCCTAGGTCCTCTACTGTTTTTAATTTACATTAATGATCTTACACATTCTTCTAAAAACAACATTGTTACTATTATTTGTGACAAGTTCACAAGCACAAATCGGCCCCTTTAAATGCACCTCGCAGTTAAATGAAAGTTGCCGACAGAGGTAAAAAAAAAAAAAAAAAAAAAAAAAAAAAAAAAAACACGATTTTTTTTTTTTTTTTTTTTTTTTTTTTTTTTTTTTTAAATTTTTTTTTAAATTTTTTTTTAAAAAAATCGTTTAACCGAAAACCGTCCGGTTTTGACTGGCGGTTAAACGGAATTGGAGATATCCGTGATGTTACAGCACTAATCTAGGGTTCAAAAGACCCCAAAATAGGAATCATTCTCCCAAAACAAGAATGGTTGGCAGCTATGAGTAAAAAAAAAAATATTAATAACAAAGTAGTGACCACAGTCGGTATTAAGTTCAATACTTATCTTAAGAATATGAGTATTTTACTCAGTATCTGGCCTGGCTGAAAAACTTAGCCAGCTTCAGTATTGGCTACAAAGTATTTGACCCTATGTTTGAGACAACTTTCTATCTAGACTTGCATTTGTCAGCAGATTGTTGCGGATGCCTTGATTGGCTGGTATGTGATTTCAAATGCAGTAATTATAACCTTAAAGGGATAGTTGAGTTCTGTTGCAGGCTACACAAAATATTTTTTTGGTGAGATAATGAAGTGTATGTTACATGCAGTGTTGCATGCAGTGTGTGTGTTGTACGTGTTTATGTGTGTGAAAGGGGGTGTCACGGTGTTGGTGTGAGAGTGTGTGACAGGATGGTACTATGTAACTTTAAAACCTTCCTCTACTGTTATTTGACACTGTTACATGCAAGAAAAAATGTAGAATCATGTAGAATCTGAGATTTTTTTTAATGTTCAATGATTGATGTAACTCATGAAGTGTCTTGTATCAAAGATCTTGTTTTATATTGCTTATTTTGATGATTTCTTGTTAATGTGAATTTTTTGTTATGTGAAATTATGAGGAAGGAAATAAAATATCATTTAAAATTAAAACAACAAAAAAAATAATGAAAAACTTAGTGTCAAATTTGAAAGAACATAATACTTAAATGACAAAATCATCTTTGTTTGATCAAAATCGGTTCAGAGACGGCTGAAATATAACGATTTTTAAAACTTGTGTACCACCACAAATATTAGATATTTTGCAAAATTTGAAAAAAACGTTGAAAAAAACGAAATAATGCCTTTTACATCGTACTTCACTTTTTTGTTGGCATTTTCGTGTTGCTTATATTACCCACAATCAGCCGGCTCATGTATTGTTATTTTTAATTAAATAATTAATTAACGGTAACCGTGTTTTTTTAAAAGTGGAGCTGAATTGGTATGATCGTATTGGCTAAATTTCACACATTTTGGGGTCTAAAATTACCTTCATAGCAATTTTAGGTTCTAAAAGGGCACTATAAATGTCATAGATAAGAATAAAAGCAATTTGTAGGCATTTGCGGTCTGAAAACAGAACTCAACTATGCCTTTAAAGCCTCTCTAAAGTGTTGGGAGCCCCAAGAATTTGATGGCAAAATTTCACTTAAATTGTATCATAATGTGAAAGAGGATGTCATTTAATACACATTTTTGCAAGGATTTTCAATACAAATATGTTTGAAGTCAAATATTGATGAAAGAATACAAATTTAGGTTTTCTGCATCCAACAGAAAACCAAAAATATGGATTCTACATGTACTATCAATAGTTGTCTTTTTTTTTTTTGGGGGGGGGGGGGGTTATTTACAGAAGTGTGTCTTAAATGATATATGTTCTTTTGCATTATGATACAATTTAAGTGAAATTTTGCACATCAAATTTCTGGCAAATTTGGGGCTAGGCCTACAGTACCAACACTTTAGAAGGGCTTTAAAAGAAGCCTTAAAAATTCAACTTTCAGTCTTTTATTGGATGATTGAGACAATGTCTAGGAATAAAGTGCAATACCCCACACTGACTAATTTCTTCCTTCCTCCATGTGTTATTAGTCATACTAGCATGTGCTGGGAATCCTATGAATAGAATAGTTTCCTGACATGGCATGGCAGTTATAAATACACTGTGAATGTCTACTTTAGAATGTTGCCCAATACTAGTATGTACATCTTAGCCTAATTCACTAGACTAGCAGTGGTCCCACATCAAGCAACCTAATTTATTTTGTTTAAAGGCATCGTTTAACAATGTTAAATCTGAGATGTACATGTATGGCCCTACAAGCTATCAGTGTCTGTGATGTGGTGTAATATCACCATGTAAGGCTTCCAAATGGTACAATAAATCAGTGTATTCCATATCTTTAGCGCAGTACCCGGCTGACTGACCAATATTGTTTTTGTATTGCTCAGTCATCCAGGAACTTTAACTATCGATATCTACAGTGCGTCCCAGAAAAACGAAACCGAGAATTATCAAGGGGTTTTATCATAACTACAATGTAATTCACAATTATAAATTAACAAATATTTCACGCACGAGTGATTAAAATAACAATGTGAAGAGGGGGTACCAAAAATTCATTTGGCGGGTGGTATCTGAATTTCAAAGAGAAAAGCACATTTTTAGAAAGTTCACTTTCTGCCCTTTCATATGACACCTCAATCAGGTAAAATGAGCCAGGAATAACAAAGTTCTGTTTTATTTTAAGCAATACTTGCATTTCCATAATTTGATTAAACAAATTTGTTTTCACTGGCTGCCTGCCGTAGCAACAAACAGAGTATACACAAGTCAATTTTAAACTCAAAGAATGAATCTAAAAACAGATCACTGCTTAAATGCCTACATGTACATGTAGATGCATGTGAGTTAATATGGATTATCCAACTTTGTGTGCACTTCAAAATGAAGACCATCTTATTTTTTGTTAAAACTTAAAAGCATGAATTAAGCCTTCTGATAATGGATTCTAGCTCTGCATTCAGACTACTGAATCATGCAAAGAAAAGTTGTAATATACTGGTAAATATATAAAGAAAACGCCTGTCTGAGCATCGTTTTGAATGAAAATATGATCAAAGAATCAGCATCTCACTCTAGTCTCTGAACGTCGTATCATACGGAACTCGTATTAATGGATGGGACACATAACAGATGATTACTTACCGTTATACAGTAGGCTTACGGTTGCACCATGTGAGAGAGGGGGGGGGGGGGGGGGAGTATGAATTCTTGCAGGTTGTGCAGGTGTACCATGCAGTAAAAAACAATATCATTTTTTAATCTACATGTAATCAAATTTGATACCATATCGAATGACATTGTCATATCTTTTTGTTTTAAATACTGAACAGTGTTTGACAAAAATAACAATATGACAGATGGAGATAAAACACTTGCTTAGTTTTTACAAATATTTTTCAAATATACTTACCGCATTCTGCTAGAACAGATGCCGTCCCTCCATAAACAAACGGTTTCCAATCGGTTGGCATATTACTAGTTCACAGACACAATATTGTTGGCAAGCAAAAGTGCACTTACTGCAAAAAGTTCAATTTTATGTTTTTTTTGTCTGAATGAAGTTTCCTTCCAATGATCCTTTGCAAACGAAGGAAAAGATGAGTTTGTATTTCCTTCATATGTTTGCAAGTTTCATCTCTCTGTGTCTTTTTCGCTCACCCCCAACAATCAAGAACCTGCTAACGTTGTTCCTCTTTACTTGGAGCAGCGAAAGGAAGATGGCCATTTTCACAGCGAAGAGGAAGCCATTGAATGTTGCTTGACACCAACCGCCAATATCAAGAATGTGTATTCTATATACTGTACAGTGTAGTAACCTGCTAGTTCCAGGAGATCTTGTAAGGATTCCACAAAGTCCTAAGGTACTGGTAGCCAAGGATAATGTAGACAATGTGTGCCTTTCAGAGAGGATGCGTCCACTTGGGAATATATTCTGTAAGAGGAAAGGGAGAGATTCAAAATAATAGCATAACTGATTGTTTAAAGGGTGATGCTGGTGAATTACTGATATGAGATAACTAAAATCTATGAGAATCTCATATCAGCGATTTGGTTAGTGGATTGTGAGACGTAAAAAAAACACTTCATTTTACTCCTACATATAAGTGCCTTCTCCCTTGGGGCACTACTTGAACTATATTATGGACAGCATATTATTAAAGGTTCTCTTAAAAAGAAAAAAAAAAGAACTCTCCTGAGACACACGTTTCTAATATATTAGTCATGAGTTGAAAGTTGAAACAAATGAAAAAAATTGTCCAGCACTATGTCATAATGACATCGCAGGTTCAGCCAATTTAAAGTGCTATACATATAAAGATTACAACTGTAAAGTTCACAAGTTCTTATTTTTGTACGGCGGCCGAGAAGTTGAGGTCATATAGCTAGCCGTGTAGGCTGCTGGCGCCAGAGTATGAGCACACTTGTGAACTAGCCGCCATACTTGCACAGTTAGAAAAAGGATTGCTTTATCATGAAAAAACGCCTAAAATTCAACCAGATGAGCTTCGATGATGACCTTGGACTAGTTATTCTGCATCAAGAAGGTATATTTGATCATTTTAGTATCTTTTTAAAAGTTATTTGAGAGCATTTTTAGGATATGTTCTGAAAGTTTTACTTTTTTGCTTTTTACCTTTTGCTGACGACTCAAATATTTTTTTGTCACATCGCGATCTAAAGCAATTGACGTAAATACTAAATAACAAACTTAGAAGTGTGGCAAATTGGATAAAAGCAAACAAACTATCTCTTAACTTAGACAAAACTAGTTACATGCTATTTAAACCTATCTATCTAATGAAAACTACATGTATCTTGGAAAGCGCACACTGACAATATCTGCAAAATCATTGCTCGCAACACTGGTATCCTTAGCAAATTAAGACACTTCCTACCGTATTATATTATGTTTTCCTTGTATTCTACGCTTATTCTTCCTTACTTGAATTAAGGACTTATTGCCTGGGGCAGTGCAGCAACTTCCCAAATTAATAGACTCTTTATATTACAAAAAAGAGCAATTCGTATTATTAATAATGTAGATTTCCGGGCACACACAAATAATCTTTTTCTGAATAATAACATTTTGAAAATTAAAGACTTGTATATTTTTCAGCTTGGACAGTTAATGTACAAGCTCAACACTAAACAATTACCTTTGCCTTTTAATGATATGTTCGTAAGAAATGATTCGATTCATTGTTACCTCACTCGCCAGGCGAGCTCTTTTCATCTACAGTGTACCATTAAGATTAAATAGAACATCTTTTGCACAAAAGATGTTTGTTTTTACAGGTCCAAAACTGTGGAATTCTCTTTCAAATGATATTATACAGTGTAATTCGATACAAATTTTCAACAGGAGACTTAAAAGCTTTCTTCTGAATAGTTACCAAAAAAAAAAAGTGATTTTTTTTTGTATTACTGAATCAGTTATTGTTATTGTTGCTTTTTTCTCATAAAATAATAATTCATGATAATAACTTTTACAGGAGGGCTTACACCCTACAAGCTCTGCTTTTTAGTCGGCCCTCCTTCCCTTTCAATTTCATGTTTATTTTTTTAATGTATTGTATTGTGCAAATTGATCTATACATGCATATAAATATATGAATATGTTAAAATGTACCATTATTGTAAATATGAACGGAAAAATAAATGAATTGAATTGAATTGAATTGAATCTGGCCAGAATCTGGAGAATTTTTTTTTTCATTCACTCTTCTGATCTTCGGTAGGTTAACCCTAAGCCAAACGAGGATCGTCTTCGTTAAAGCGAACAGACGCGTCTGCAAAATTAAGGATCGTCTGTATTTTCGCAGACATTTCATATTTCCGATCCGCGCGTTGGTGATGCGAAAAAACAGATTTTGCGATGATTTTCTTGATGCATTTTATATAACCTCTGTACAGAGACTTTCACGTTATGAGCGATAAATCCTTGTGAAGACGGACAACCCGTAAAAGTAAGCGGAATCTGTTTTTTGCATTGCCAGCGCAGCTCAGACTCCTCAGAGCATCGATGAAGAAAAAAAAAACGTCTGTGAAAATGCAGCTGCAATTTGTCCGCGTTTCCAAGGATATCCTTGGTGATGCGGACGATCCTCATTCTCGGACCAGCGCCCCTGGCCCTACTGATCTTCTAAAATTAAAGAAAAAAAATCTTTTGTTTTTATATTTTTTCTGCCTCCATTTTAACTTTTTCATACAGAATCACCATTTTGGCCAAATTCATTAGGTCAAGTTCATTTCAGGTCTAGACTCTATTTAAAGTTTGGCAGACACTTAATTGGCTTATTCACAAGCAGTCACTGATTTCACTTTCACTTTCAGTAATCTCACATACTGTCTAGATCTACGTCTATTTGACGTAGAGTCTAACTTTAATAGGCCTACACAAAACAAAAATCCCTTGTCAACTCATTCACTGCATAAAACCCAACGTGCGGGACTAATAACCGGCGAAACCGCGGTTGACTAAAACAAGTTTCACCTTCTTTACGTGGATAATTTGAAAGGTTCTCGAAATAATAACAGTTCTCGGTAACAAAAAATAAAATAAGAAATAACTCACATAGAAATGATGAGGTTTCCGGAAACCTTTGAACCCAAATGGACAAACTGGTGTTTCTGAAGACCTCGGCACGTACGCATAACTTCATAAGGAAGATAACAGCTGATGAAATTGCGCTTATGCGGCATATGCATGCATGATCATGATAATACTGTCTAATTTGGCGGAGTACGAGTGCGGCGGCGCATGCTTGTTCCTTATCCCAGTGTGATTGGTTAATACAGGGGAGACACAACAAAAGCCCTGTCGGTCGCGTTATTTTTTTATGCGGCACAGATTGGGGCTTTTTTTAAAAAGGGGTCTTGATTTACAGACTAATACTGGTCGTGTGCGTACTAGACAGTATAAGTAGTAGAGGTCAGTTTTTAATAGTGTTATATTTAATCCACTACCGCATGGAAAATCATTACATCAACAATTAAAATCAAATTGGAAATCTGAAGAGGAGGCAGCACGTCAATAAGGAGAACATCACAATAATTAGTCAATAAAACTTAACTAATTTAAACGAAGAGGAATGTTATCTAAACACATAGTTCGCGATGGATATACAAACTTCTTCGCAGCGCTAATGCGCTAGCTATAAACATGACTAGTCTCACGTACGTGCAGACACTATTCAGAAGGGAAAGAACGTACTTCCCATAGGTTTAACACGCGCCATGCCCCAATCTGTGCCGCATAAAAAAATAACGCTGTCGGCGTGTGGTGAATTTTTTGCACGTACGCATTGCGTGGAAAACAAATGTGGAAGACTAGGTTCTAAAAATAGACTCAACAGGGAAAGGGGATTTCCCGACCTTGGAATGAACTGTCAATGTTGGGGCAATATTTTGAATAAGAATCGGATACTGAAATGTGTTTCATCAGAAGTCAAAGATGTTGTTTGAACTGTAGATAACAACTTTTATTAAATGATATTTGACATTCTTTCCTATTATAACATTTTCAAAATATTATAAAAGAAGACTACCGTAGCCGACAACCCGGTACTGCAATTTCTGTAATTTAAATGGAATGCAATCGATGGAAGTGCAATAGATCTATAATCAGTAATCACAGAGCTGGAAAATCTGCTCAAATGTTTCAAGTCCATTAATTTTAAAATTATAACATTAAAAACATTTAATTTCATTTTTCCATTTTTTTCTTACCCTCAAATGTATACTGAAATTTTCGTGTATCCAATTTGTTTAAACTTTCACAAATCCGTTTCTGCTTTTCCTGCTTTTTTTTAGAGCAACTTGCTATGATCAAAGGTTGGATTTCACTTTTCTCAAGCCCAATATAAAGATATAGAATTTTGTGAAAGGTATATTAAATTAAAAGGGTTAACTATACCTGCGATTGCATAGAAAATAGGGCGACTACAATAGAACATAAATAATTTTATAAGCTACAAGTACAAAGAAAATTGAGCAAGGTAATTGGATTTTCAACGAATTTTATCAAGAAAATGTCAACGACGTAAAATATCGGTACAGGTATCAAACAAAGACAACTAATGAAATACACTACATACTGTACATGAATACGCAATCCGATATGATGAAAAATTGAGGTTGGGACATTTTTTATAGGCAGGGTGGCCCATTAGCAGGCCCCCCAAAATGAAATCTTCTGAGTATAATCAGCATTTTGAAGTGAATATTGACTAAGAATCATCAGAAGATGTATTTACTTCAATTTGTACTAAGATTGATAACTTTTTGAACAAATAACAAAAATTGATTTATTAATTCTCATATTAAGTTGTGAAAACATAATCCAAGTCTACTGACCTAAAATGGCCTTTGACCTTGACTTTGTGTAATTTGATTTGTCATATTTGATAACCCTTGGTACAAGTTTCCTGGAATTTGAACTAACACTTTGGAAATTGTGCTAAAACTTCAAAATCTTAACCTTCGAATGTAACATAATGATGCATTGCAAAAAAGGGTATACCAACAACAACAAAAAGAAAATTGTTGTGTCCTTGAGAAAAACATTGAGAAAAGAAATACTGGCAAGACCAGGCAAGAAGTCGATCGTATTTTCTAAATAACTATTTAAACAATATTTTAAGATACAAAACATATGTAGAAATCCATGACAGTTAGCACAATCTGAGCTGTTCTGGGTTGGTTGTATCTGACATTCCAAAATATTCCTTACTCTTAAGGATTTTAAATCAAAACATTAGCTATTTCAATATGGCATTTACATTGCATATTTCTCTGAAGCTTTTGTGAGACAAATTACGGATTTTCATGACAAACTAAACAAGTGTTCTTTATTCTGAAAATAAAAGTAACACCTTTGAATAAATAAACAAAATCTCCAGATAGAAAGAGTTCAGAATCACACAAATTTCCTGACTAAACAGGGCAAAAGGGGTTATGGCACTAAGTAGAAGCAGTATATTATGCTGGTCTATTTGAAAGTAACTAAGAAGACTTAAACACTAAAATACACTTGAAATTTACATCTATTTACAATGTAGATAAGCATCTACGTACAAAAAGCACCAATGAACTGAGTAAAATCTTACAAAACAGTGCTTGGTGACCAACATAAACAAGTTATGATATAAAGCAGTATAAAAGACAACAAAGGAAGGAGCAAACAAACTAATTCTAGAATTTTCAGGAAAAGATATTCTATCACATCAATTAAAGAGTATCAATCACCTGAAAAATAATCAGAACAAAATAATCCAATCAGACATATTCCCTGGACAAAAAATTGTTTTCCTGAGAACAATCACCAAACTATCAGGACCTTTGGTCCTTTGCCCTCAAAAGCAACAGCCATCCAGAGAATCACCCCTAGAACATTTACCCTGTAGTGCAATCATATCCCAAACATGAGCCTTTGGACAATTACATTTCCGGGGAAATGTTAATCATCCTACAAGAAAAATCCTCTTGATGGGCAATAATCCAGATGGAAATTTTCAAAGTGGGAAATACAAATTTTCTTGGGTGTACACATAGAAGTCTCATGAATAGTTGTCCTAGTGGTAAGGACACTTTTTCTTTTAAATTTATATCACACACTTGAAAGATTATTTTTGGCAATGACTCAAGTATCATCCCTCAATGCCCGAATCCTCTGAAGCCACAGATAATCAACAGTTTATTTCCCCATTTTCTTGGCAAGTTCAGTTTCTTCCTTGTAGGCTTTGCTGTTCATGTGGGCGCTGTAAGGTTGGGGACCATTGAGCTGCCTGGAGTTGGTGCACCACTTGCAGGAGCAGAGCACCAAGAATTATCCTTCGACCCTCGACCCTAACCACGTCCGCAGCTAATCCTCGGTGTACTCCCCGTTCTCTTTGGCAAGTTGTACCTCTTCCTTGTGGGCTTTGCTGTGAATATGGGCGCTGTAGGGATGGGGGCCGTTGAGCTGCTTGGCACACCACTTGCAGTAGTACTGTGTTAAATCGGTAGAGGCGGGGCTGCTGTTGCCCGGGGTTACGTTTCCCTCCCTGTTGTAGGCCGACACGTACGCCTTCCACACGGCTGATAAAAATAAACATATTAGAGAAATTAGAGAAAGGCAAAGGTTGGGCAGAAAAAGAGCGAGGGAGATAATGAGAGTGAGCAAGACAAAGAGAAAGGGGTAGAGGGATGGAGAATTGAAAGCCAAAAGATACAAGACACAATCAAATACATAGAAAGAGAAAAGACCAATAAAGACAGATAGAGAAAAGAGAGAGGGAGAGGGGGAGAGAGATCATTATTTCTTGGTGGCAGAAATGTAAAAAAAAATTGCTGGTGTGCGTATCACTCTGAGATATATGCTTACAATTGGGGGGGGGGATCATGCAGTTGAGACAAAGTGGAATAACTTGACTTCCATTTTTTCATTATGAAGAATTGGATAAAATTGGAAGCAAAAATAAAAAAATTGAATATCCAAATTCATGGCAAAAAAAAATCATAATATAAGAATCATCAATCTACAAGTGATTTGTGAATGTTTGTTACACTATTTAAAAAAAAAAAAAATTTTCAGGGGGGGATCGTCAAGATTCTTAAACTGTTCTCAATGCAATATCTGGGTTTAATGCAATAATATTCATTTTAAGGTTTCTTTTTGTTTGGTCATACTTACGCTTGCATTTTGGTAACTCTGCCTCTTCTGCAGACTGTTTGGCAGCAAGCCAGGGTAGCTGAGTGACTTTCTCTGCGACCACCTAGAGTAACAAGATATTTAAAAAATAAATTTATAAAAAAGTCATACAAAGAAGGTTCCAGTCAGTGCATTATAGTGCTTAAGTTATAAGAATACCAAACATGGTGGACTACAGAATGAATATAGCAAACCTAAATATTCTTATAAATGCCAGTGTTCAATCAAAAGTAACTAGGATGCAAAGGCATAATTTAAGTATGCTGAATAGCATTCCTTTTGGATCATTTTAAAAAGAGATCTTTTGAAATTGATCAGGGCTCTGTTGAGAGTTTTGAGGGCAATTGCCCTTTGTTTCAAACTCCATTTTAAAACCCATTCACCTCCTTATACTGACCTCCATATAGGAAGAAGGCACGAAGCCCTGCTCACTTCCATCCTTAGTCTGGACCTTCCACCAAATTTCATTGTCTTTGGATGTCTCTAGATAGACTAGATTCTGCCCCTGCTTCATGGTGAGTTCTTTATCTCCCAAAGGACTATCAGGGTTGGCCTTATAGCTGAACTTGGCCTTCAGCAAGGCGACACCGGCCTTCAGACCTGCTGCAGAAGGGGCACTTGTGGCTGAAGCCGACCTCGCGGGGCTACTCGTTCCTGCAGAAGTAGCACCTGTGGCTGCAGACGACGACCTCGCGGGGCTACTTGTTCCTGCAGAAGAGCTGGACGGTACTTTGTTCTCATTTTCTGGTCGACTTGAGTTCAAGCTACATTTTGATAGGTCCGTTTCAACACGTGCAACTTCCGCAGTGGATTGGTCTGTCGATGGGGTACATTGTTCTCCTGGACGTCTGGATGGAGTGTAAGGCTGTTGCCGAGAACCTCTGCCACGACCTCGACCTATACTCCAGTGACTGATTGCTTGCTGTGCTTGAGCCATGGTTGATTTCCACAAATTTAAACTAACCTGAGAAAAGAGGAAGAGAACAAATGGTTGGCTGGACTTTTTCTGGAGTTTCTTATTAGGCCTAAAATAAAAACTTGTTGTATTGCCCTTTGCGACAGACCCAAAAATCTGAAAATCGCTGGTCAGCATTTTAAAAAAGTTTTTTTTTTTTTTTAAACTGTTTTTCAGAAATTTTTTAATGAATGAATACAAAAATATGTATTTTGTTTGTTTAAATGGGATATAAATGCATAAAATCAAATTATTCCCAAATTCTCACTCGTCTTCTGCCCTAGTTTCAAAATCCTAGCGTAAACATGTAAGTAGACCCAGGCCTCTTGTACGTGTGTATAGTTTATACCAGCTGCACCAGCTAGAAAACTGAGAAATATCAGCCAAAAGAGGGCAGGGAAAAAACAAACAAAAAAGATCAAAAACTGAAAAAACATCGGCCCAAAGACGGCGACAAAAAAAAAAAAAAAAAAAAAATCTTTTCCGACCGACCCATGTTTTGACACTTAAAGGGCAATACAAGTTTTTTTTTATTTTAGGCCTTACTACATGTAGTTACTACCATTGAGAAAATTTTTCACAAAGTAACATATTATATCAATGATATCTAACAGGCTTATCAGCTGACTTTCTTAACATTTACAGCATAAAGACAAGAAAAAATTTAACTGAGAGCAATTCAATCATATTAACTCACGAGTAATAATTGACAAATGCCATGACCAAAAATCCAGTTTGAATAGATCTTGGTGCACTCATTCAATTAACCTTGTAACTGTTAATGCTCACGACCTGACCTACAACATTATTCTCATTTCTCATACTTTATAGGCCCGAATTCACAGAGGAGGTTTGTCAACAAGTCTACGTTTTATGTGTGTCATATGACACATTTTGACGCGTTTCAAACAAAGATTTGTACAAACCTTGGGCTTGGTTTGAAATGCGTCGAAATTCGTCATCTGATGCACTTAAACCTAGTTTTGTTGACAAACCTCCTTTGATTATACGGGCCATATTTTCTCTTTCTCATTTCATCGTTTCAACAGGAGAAACATCAAAATCAGAAGCATCATCCCTCTACTCTAGCTCTGCTCCTCTACTGGCGTTTCCTCTTGAAGTATTGTAGTACAGATCTCTGGCTACTCTTCATAGAATCTTCTCTTTCCTAAGACGATGAGGAACAGGAAGGTTGTGGTTAAGACTTCTACTCTCAAAATTTGAAACCTTACCTTATGTCTGGTTTCCTTAGTCCTCGATTGCTATTCTGGAGTAGGGGCGGGCGGGCGGATTTTTTTTTTGGATTCTATTTTTTTACTTCATGTTTTGTGTGTCTTTTTTTGATTTTTTTTTTTTTTTTATAATCTTTTTTCCATAAAAAAAAAATAATTGGGATTGTCAAGCATTTAAACAAAGTCTATAAAACACTTTAATATGGTAAAAGACTAGTTTAATGTACAATGAACATCAAGACCAACACAGAAAGTATTTTGGGCTTTGAAATACAGCACCTTTTAAATCGCCATTGTACTACTTATAGCTACTTGTGCCCTCTATGTAGCAAATAATGCCTAATAGGTGACCATTGGTCCCCCATTATCCTCTTTATCTTATATTAACTGAGAGCTGATTTGATGAGATAACCACCTGTCCAGTGACCTTATAGGGTGGTCTAATCCCTCCTGTAAACTAGTACAGATGGGCTTTAAAATGAGTTTAAGAAAGCTCAGAACCTGATTTGAATGAACAACATTTTGACATAGAAAAATAAAAAGTTCAATAAATACCTAATTGCATACTGAAAAGACCAACCTGGCAACGAGACGCATTTTGATCCTTGCAAATGCATAACATGGTATGTTTGGTTTTTAAGATTGCTCCCCCAAAAAAAATATTAAAAAAAAAAAAAAAAAATGAATTTAAAAAAAAAATATATAAAAAAAAAAAAAAAAAATACGAGCGGCCCGAAAATGACGAGCGGGCGGTCGAGGACAACCAAATGATTTTTTATTTTTGGACTTACCCTGACACTCTGACACAGTGACTTTCTTCGTCACATTACTCGTACGGGCTGAGTAATGAACATGATGCATACCAGGATCTTTCTTTAAGGTACATCTGCCTCAGCAAAGCGTAAAGATTCTGGCATGACTATGATTATCTTGTAATAATTACTTCCATGTGCAATCGCCGCGCCGGCCGAGCTGAGCTGAGCTGAGCCAGACAGCAGCACACAGCAATCGTTCAGCTTCGGGACCCCAGGCCGCAGCTCAGCCGCCCGTTCGCCATCGGTCCGCCTCGACCTCCACACAGGCTAGCTGGTGTTTAGTTTTACAACTTTCAGAATGTCATAGTCTAATCATAAAAGCAATCGTTTTTGTATTCATATAATCATGCTGTTCATCCCTATGTTAATACTCTATAATTTTAAGATACAAAACAGATCTAAGCTACTTACAAATACAAATTTCCTTGCGCAAGTTGAGGGCTCGAGTTCGAAGAAATCAAAAGAGCTCACTTATTGCTACACACAAGTATCATTCACAACACGTGCGATCGTAGTCTTATTTCACAGGCACTGCATATAGTCCCTGCACCCGACACCATGTAGTACCATCAAGCTGCTCTCAAGTTTCTTTATTGCTGCCTTAGGCCATGTAAAATTGATTTCATGTTGATCGTCCCCGCCCGCTTCCTTTTTGGGGGCCGCCTCCTATTTTTTGTTATTTGTTTTTTTTTTTTTTTTTTTTTTTGAATTTTTTTTTTGAATTTTTTTTTTTTTTTTTTTTTTTTTGAAAGAAAAAAAACATGAAAAACACTGCTAAAATGGCTCTATTTCTGATTTAAAAAAAAAAAAATTGTCGGCGGCCATCTTGAAAAAAAATAGCCTCGACTGTCAGGGAAAATGTACCGAGCGGCCATTTTGAGCGGCCATTTTGAAATATCAAATATCAAATAACATGGTACACCCTCCTCCTCTTTTTAAAAAAATCCGGACGATCAACATGTAATCAATTTTACATGGCCTTATCCGTATTACGACAAATGGCGACGAGGATGGGATACGGATGTTGGTGGATCATCGCAGGTTATCGCAGATGCTACGACTGAGTTATCAGCTGAAGGAGGAAAACCCCTTGGTCAAGAAAGACACTTGGAGTGTCACAGGACTTTAACGAGTCGAAGTTTTTTTGCATGCAATATTAATTTGTTGCAGTTCCAAGTATTGGTGTAAGTTTAGTTGTAAACACAGTCATTATTGCCAATAAACATAATTATTGCCAATTGTTTACTAACTTGTACTTGCAGTTTTAGTTTCATTTAGCCCTTGTAACGATGACTGAAGATACGAGTATGGCAGAGATGCTGCAGGCGTTGACAGGTGTCATGCAAGGACTAGCTCTACGACAGACAACTCCTGCACCAAAGATTAAACTTCAAAAGTTTAAAGGTCCACCAAGAGCCCCAGGGGAACCTTCATTAAAGGAATGGCTGGATGATTTTGCTGTTTATGCCAAGAGGTACAGGCTTGAAGGGAAAGACATTAAGGCTCAAGCCTTGATCGATCATCTTGTCGGTGTCGTGAAGGAAGAAGTTCTGTGTAGGGATCTGTCAGTAAGAGAGGACTTTGATCAGCTAGTAGATGTGCTAAATTCACTGTTTGGACCTGCAGAATCTGTTCAGTCACTGAGTGCTGAATTTCACACGAGAACCCAGAGAGAAGGTGAAGGTCTTGCTGATTATAGCCGTGTATTGATGAGACTGTATTCACGCATGGAAAAGGCAGCCTTCTCTACAGATGAGAGGAGGGCCCTTGAGCTTCTTCGCGACAGTTCTCTAAGGGAAAACTTTGTACGGGGAGTGAGAGACACCGGGATAAAGAGAGAACTTCGACGAATAGAGATGGCCTCTAAAGGAAAAAAGTTCCTGGAAATGCGTGAGGAAGTGTTGGATCTTTTCAGGGATCAGGAGCCTTCAACAAAAGTGAAAGTCCAGGAAGCACTGGTGGCAACCCCTCAACTACAGAGAGAAATGAAGTCAGAGAACTGAAGGACGACCTATCTTCTTTAACGAGACAAGTGAGTGAATTAGTAGAGGCTGTAAAGAATTTACAAAGGAACAGTGGTGGACAGAAGGAATACAGTGGTGGACAGAAGGAATGGCAAGGAAGAAAGCTCATTTGCTACAACTGTGGTGAGAAGGGCCATCACAGGAATGATTGTTCATCTAGCAGAAGGTGCTTTTCTTGCAAGATGCTGGGCATCTTAAGAAGGACTGTCCCTTAAACAAGAGTACAGAGAACACCCGAGAGAACTCTCAAGCAAACATCAGTTTGATCCAAGGTCAGAAGGAGGGGTCAGTAGATCCATTGATAAAGAGACTTGTATCACGAAGTCCAAAGTCGGTAGTGACCATCGGGGGCTTGGACATAGGATGTGTATTAGACTCGGGAGCGGAAACGTCCATAATACCCGCTTCGGTATACCATGAACAGCTGATATCGAAGGTACATCTGGGGGAGCTGCACTCAATGTCTGGACTATTTCTAGATATCGTGGGAATTGGTGGGATAGATATCCCAATTGAGGGCTACATCGAAGTCCCAATACACCTGGAAGGACATTCCCTCCTTGGAAGTTTTATGATTGCAGCGGACAGGGCATGCCACAATGCTACGGCAACTACACCGGAGTATCCTGTCCTGATAGGGTGTAATATCTTTGACACTATCGGTCCGTCAGGGTTAATTGATGTTCTGAAGTCTGCGAAGCAGAAAGTGAATGAGAGAACAGCGGCCTCCTGCTCACCTATCCCTGTACAGACTGGGCGTGTTGAAGTTCTCCAACCCTTTAGCATAAGAAGGGTAAGGTGTCAAATAGAGACGGGTGGTCATTCAATAGGAGAGATATTGGTGAGAGATGCAACACGCCCAGTCTACGCAATCAATGCCGTAGAAGGGTGCCAAGAACCTGATGGGAAATTAGTGGAAGTGCTGCTGGCTAACAGATCGGAGAACATTATTCATTTACCATCTCACACTCAGGTAGCAGAAGCAGTAATGGTCCAAAGAAGGAAAGAGGTTTGTCTTGACCTTGAGGAGGACAAGATATTGGTTTCTGTTCGTGATGTGGTTGCAGAAGCAGAAGATGACAAGGTATCTGAAAGTGTAATGTCGGATATTGACATTAAGGAAACAGATGACGGTCTTCCGAATCTTCCTACTGGAGTCAAGTTGGACGGACTTTCCAGCGAAGCTAAGATGTTGGTGACACAGTTGCTCGACAAGCATGCTACAGTGTTTTCATCAGGAAGCTTTGATTTAGGGGAATGCAGTGTTGTACCTCACGTGATACAGATGACTGAAGGACCTGCGATTAGGCTCCCTTACAGGCGCATATCCCCAACGTTGGTCAATGATGTCAAGAAGATGCTCCAGGAGATGTTGGATCAAGGGATAATCCGCCCATCAAAGAGTCCGTATGCAAGCCCCATTGTTCTTGTGAAGAAGAAGGATGGATCACTCAGATTATGCATTGATTACAGGAAGGTTAATGAACGCATTGTAATAGATTCGTTTCCATTACCTAGGATAGAGGAAACTTTGGATGCACTGACAGATGCCAAGTATTTCTCCACAATGGATCTAGCACATGGCTACTTCCAAGTAGTGATGGACCCTGCATCAGTGGACAAGACGGCTTTCCGGGTTCCTTGGGGACTTTTCGAGTTTACCAGGATGCCCCAAGGACTATGTAATAGTCCAGGTACATTTCAGAGAACGATGGAGTATATACTGGGAGATCTTAATCTTAGCAAAGTTATATTGTATCTGGATGATATTTTGGTGTTCTCTTCTACTCTTGAGCAGCACTTGGAGAGGTTGGACTTGGTCTTAACACGACTTGAAGAGAACGGACTCAAGGTGAAAGGCAAGAAGTGTGAATTCTTCCGCCAAGAAGTCAAGTACCTTGGACATGTAGTAACAAGTGAAGGAGTCAGGGTAGATCCTGAAATGGTGAATAAAGTTCAGGAGTGGCCACGACCCAAGAATGGCAAGGAAGTTAGCTCGTTCTTAGGATTAGCATCCTATTATCGTCGCTTTATGGAAGGATTCTCTCACATGGCTGGTCCTCTGCATAAGGTTGCTCTGAAAGGGAAAGGCAGCAAGAAAGACTTCGAGTGGGGACAAGAACAAGAAGATGCATTTGTAAGTTTGAAGTCGCGACTTACTAGTGCCCCAGTGCTAACCTACCCCAAGTTTGACAAGGACTTCATCGTGGAAACGGATGCTTCCCTGAAAGGCTTAGGGGCATGCTTACTTCAGAAAAGAGATGATGGTCGACCCCATCCTATTGCATACGCAAGCAGGAATTTGCGAGGGGCAGAGAAGAACTATGCAGACTTGAGCAGTTTCAAACTTGAACTACTTGCCCTTAAATGGGCTGTGACGGAAAAGTTTGCACCCTATCTCATGGGAGCTCACTGTACTGTGTTGACAGATAACAACCCTTTGGCGCATTTAAACTCGGCGAAGTTAGGAGCCACTGAGTCCAGATGGGTCGCACAACTGGCACCCTTTGATATAGAGGTGAAGTACAGGTCGGGTAAGAGTAACCGATGCGCTGATGCTCTTAGTAGGAGACCAGAAGACATGTCGAGTGCAGAAGTCGCATCAGTGCTAAGTGAGGTGACATGTTCTACGGAGCTACCCAAGGATGATCAATCTTCTTTGAGAGGATGTCAGAAGATTGAGGTGAGAAGGGTTAGTGAAGAGCACAGTGTCAATGTATTGCCCTCTTACAGCAATGCTGAGCTTGCGGATCTCCAAGAGAAAGATGAAGTTCTGCAAGAGGTCTCGCGTTTGTGGAAGAAGGGATGGATGCCTGGTCAGGACTTCGATACCTCGATGCCGTGTTTATCTGGATGGCTGAGACAGTGGTCACGATATCGAGAATATCGAGGGGTTTTGTATAGGGAGGTGGATGATGCCATTCTTGGCAAGGTACGACAGCTGTTAGTACCCCAAGTGTTGAGAGAAACCATGCTGAATTTGACTCATGACAGATGGGGCCACCAAGGAGTGGACAGAACAGTGAACCTACTGAGAGACAGATGCTATTGGCCAGGAATGAGTGGGGAAGTAAGACTTTACATCAAGAAGTGTTATAGATGTACTATGTCAAAGGTACCTACGCCAGCTATCTGCCCTCCCCAAAGGCATCTACTTGCATTTCGGCCCCAGGAGATAGTAGCTGTTGACTTTCTGAAGCTGGATAAGGGCAGAGGTGGTTACGAGGATGTGTTAGTAATCACGGATGTATTTAGCAAGTATTGCCAAGCAGTGCCCTGCAGGGATCAGACAGCGTTGACAGTGGCCAAGACTTTGCGTGATTCCTGGTTTACACATTATGGAATTCCCGGAAGAATCCATTCCGACAAAGGAAGGTCTTTCGAGAATGCGATTATTCTGGAACTTTGCAAGTTGTACGGTATGAAGAAATCATGTACTACAGCGTACCACCCTGCTGGTAATGGTCAGTGCGAGCGTTTTAACAAGACGTTGTGTGGGCTGATTCGATCTCT